ATAATGTAATTGATTTTGAAACATGTAAACATATACTATGGTGTAACATTTTCAATTATATTTATGATGATTGTATTTACTTTGAGCACTATTATACTCGTTGTTGTGATACTATACATGAAGTCTTCCACCATCGGACGTTTCCGCCATCCTTGGTTTGGGGGTGTGACAAATATGCACTCCTCACCCTATATATAGTAGACATGGGCCGTAAACCTGTTCACGACCGTAAACACAACCGTAAACACGTATACGACCGTAAACACCAAGCTGTTTACGGTCCAAGACACAAAAATACATTTTCCTAAAAAAATAAAGTATAAACAATATTTTTGACCCAACACTATTTCTTTCCTTCCTGTTTTATATCTCTTACAATTAAAACTTAAATTACTTAGTCATCCAATTGATATATCAAATATTATTTTTAATAAATTATTGATATATCAAATATTATTTTTAATAAATTATTGATATATCAAATATTATTTTTAATAAATTGGTCTCACGTCTAGTTTAGATATTAAAATCTAAAAAATTATTTATGGTAAATCTACTTGGATTTTATTAAAATAGGTTTTGACCAAATTTGTTAAGATTCTAACATTTTATGGGTTAAGGTAAAAAGTTGTACGTTAGTAATATAATAATATCAACTGTCATTATAAATCAAAGTAAAAAAATTAAAGGGCTAAACTTGCCAAAAAGGTTTTAACTAAAATCACAATTTCTGTCTTCTTCCGCATTTGAAACGGAGAGAGAGACATCGAGAGAGATCCGGTTTTCAAGCATTTGGTGATTTTTGGTATTAACTTTCACATTCCCGATGCAGAAACATCGTTTCCGAGGGCTATTCACTTCATCTCCTCTGAGTTTCTTTGCAATTGTTTTGAATAAATTTTCTCCAACAAAGACTTAGAATTTATATGTATTATCAATGGCGTCTTCTTCTACTTCATCCATTTACAAGAGTTTCAAGTATGATGTGTTTTTGAGTTTTAGAGGTGAAGACACTCGTACAAATTTCGTTGATCATCTTTATTATGCTCTTCAGCAGAAAAGCATTCACACTTACAAGGATGATGACAGAATCAGAAAGGGCAAAAGGATCTGTGATGAGCTCATCAGATCCATTGGAGACTCAAAACTCTACATCATTGTTTTCTCGAAGAACTATGCCTCTTCTTCTTGGTGCTTGGAGATCATGGAGTGTCACAAGACCACCGAGCATACTGCCTATCCCTTGTTCTATGATGTCGAACCGTCGGAAGTCCGCAAACAACGGGGGGCAGTTGAAAAAGCCTTTGCGAAGCATGAAAATGAAGAGGCTGCAGAGAAATGGAGGGATGCTCTGAAAGAAGCAGCGGATCTGGCTGGGTGGGAGTTGAAGAACACTGCCGATAGGTAATCACTTCATCATCATATTTTTTTGCATTATTGTTTTGATTGTGGTCGTTTTTATCAAGTTTAACACATTATACAAGCACCATCAATATCCAATTTCTTAGAATTCTATCTCAAAACAACTAAATAGTTGCTAATCATTATTATTTCAATTCAGCTACCTTCCAATTTCAGTATTTTCTTAATTTCACGAGAAATAGGTGTCGGAGAGCGTTTTGTTTAATTCAAACCCTAAGGGAAAAAACATTGTGAACTTATTTATTAGAATATTATTTTATTGGGTTTTATTTATTTATTTATTTATTGGTAATCTGAGTTTATCCTTGATGTAAAGGGCTTGGAAATGGCATCTCATGTTGTATTGTCAAATTCTATGTTATTACATCATTATATTTGTAGGTTGGATCTGAAAGTAAGCTAGTTAAATCTTTTTTTAAAATACAGGCATGAAGCTAAGTTCATCCAAAAAGTTGTTGGAGAAATTTCACTAGAGTTAAGATCCATTGATTTCAGCTTTGATGAAAAATTAGTAGGCATGGAGACCAGGATCTATGATGTGTTATCATTTCTAAGAACTAGTTTAAATGATGTTCGCACGATCGGAATCAAGGGAATGGGAGGTGGTGGGAAGACAACTTTAGCCAGGGCTGTTTTTGATCAAATATCCTTTCAATTCGAAGGTAAAAGCTTCGTTGAGAATGTTAGGGAAGTTTCAAAAGCTTCTTTGTCCGGTTTGAAGTCATTACAAAACCAAATTCTTTCTGATGTCTTCAGTGATCAGAGCATCTCTGTTAGTAGTGTTTATGACGGAAAAAACATGATGAAGAAGAGGATGAATAGCAAAAAGGTTCTTCTTGTTCTAGATGATGTGGATCATATAGAGCAACTTGAGGCATTAGTCGGTGAGACGAATTGGTTTAAACCAGGAAGCAGAATTATCATTACAACAAGAGATGAGCAAGTGCTCGTAGCACATGGAGTGAAGTCGATTCATAACGTCAAGTTGTTATCTGATAATGAAGCAATTTGTCTCTTCAATAGGTATGCCTTTGTGAGAGAGACTCCAGATCTAACATACAAAGAGCTATCACGACTAGTTGTACATTATGCTGATGGTCTTCCCTTAACGATTAGAGTTTTGGGTTCGTTTCTTTGTGGTAAAAATGAGCTTGAATGGACAGATGCCCTAAAAAGATTAAAAACAATCCCCTTAATGGAAACTCTGAAAAAATTAGAATTAAGCTATACCAGTCTAGAGGAGGATTACAAAGAGATTTTCCTGGATGTTGCATGCATATTAAAAGGATGGTCGAAAGCTTTAGCAATCGAAGCACTTGAAAGCTGTGGATTTCATGCTAGAAATGGTTTAAGAGTTCTTGAGCAAAAATCTCTCATAACTATTAATCATAATGGGTATCTGGGCATGCATGACCATATTGAAGAAATGGGCAAGAATATTATTCGTCGTACGCACCCGGATATGCCTCATAAACATAGTCGATTGTGGATTGATGAGGAAATCGAAGATGTATTGGCTAATGACTTGGTATGGATCAAGTTTATTTCTAAAACATATTTTTATTTATTATGTCACAAGTTAATGGTGACTTTTTGAATTACAGGGAAGCAATAAGATATATACGATTCTACGCGTGTAAACTCAGTCCTGAAATTGTGATGAAAGGACTTAGAAATATGAAGGAACTTAGTTTACTTGATGTGTCCATGGGTTCTCTTGATGCACGTAAAAGCGATTATTTTTTTCGAAATTCGAATTCTAATAAATTTCCAAATGCTTTGCGGTATCTTTGTTGGAACCATTACCCTTTTATGTCATTACCCATGACACTTCATGCAGATAATCTTGTTTCACTTTACATGACTGAGAGCAAAATAGTACAACTCTGGGAAGGGGGAGAAAGAAAGGTAGAATTTTGGTTGATTGATTCTTTTGTGTCACTCATTTGAATGCTATACATCCATTGCTTTGATATAACACTAATACAGTAATACTCATCTTGTTTTTGTTCTTTGCTTATGTTAGGTTCTAAAGAAGCTCAGATTCCTTGACCTCAGTTATTCAATGTTGAGGACCCTTGATCTTGGGCTTACTCCATATATTGAGACGTTGAATCTTAAAGGATGTACTAATTTGGAAGAAGTGCACATGATTGGTGGATGTTTAAAGCTCATTACTATCGACCTCAGTTTTTCAACCTTGACAACCCTTGACCTTGGGTTGGTTCCCAATATTGAGCTATTAGATCTTAGAAATTGTTCAGGTCTGATAGAACTTCACATGCCCAGTAGATCTCTAAATTTGAAATCCACCAAACTCAAAAATTCAAAGTTGAGGACCCTTGACATTGGGCTGAGTCCTAATTTCGAGCATTTAGATCTTAGAAATTGTTTGGATTTGGAGGAAATTCACTTGGCAAATGGGTGTCAAAAGCTCACATCCCTTGACATTAGTTGTTCAAAGTTGAGGAAAATTGACATTGGGTTGACTCCAAATCTTGAGAGGTTAGATCTTAAAAATTGTTATAGTTTGGTAGAACTGAATGTGGCCGATGATTCTCTAAAGAAACTCGTCTACTTAGGCTTAAGTGGTTGTTTGAGGTTCAGATCTTTTATTTTTCACATAGAGGATGATACTTCTCATACTGAGGAGAATACTTCTTGTGCTGAGGATGATGCTTCTTGTAGTGAGGATGAATCGCTTGAGATTGGTCCTCTAGCTGAGTTACATCTGACTGCAATTTCCATACATGGATGCCCATTTCACCCTGAAAGCAACCTACCAAAGCTGCAGTTTACATGTTTATATGAAGAAGATACACCGTTATTTACTAGAAATCTTGAGAAGCTTATTTCTATAGGTCTGTGTGTTTGCACAAACCTTGATACGTTTTCAAGAAGCATTTGCGGGTTACAAAGTTTAAGAAAGCTCAAACTAGAAGGCAACATATTAGAGGTCCCCAAGAATCTTGACCAACTAGAATGTCTAGAGGAGCTAGATTTGTCAAATACAAAGATTAAACATCTTCCCGATAACATTTGTATGTTGAAACGTCTGAAATCTCTCAAACTTAGATCATGTCGGTTTCTTGAGAAGTTACCCAAGGATCTTGGCCGATTAGAATGTTTAGAGGAGCTAACTTTAACATGTGGAAAAATTAAAGATCTTCCTGATAGTATTTGTATGTTGAAACGTTTGGAATCTCTTGAACTTTATGATTGCTCATGTCTTGAGAAGTTACCTAAGGACATTGGCCGATTAGAATGCTTGAAGAAGCTAACTGTGTCATATGCACAGATTAAAGATCTTCCTGATAGCATTTGTATGTTGAATAAACTGGAATCTCTCGAACTTAGTTATTGTTGGTTGCTTATGAAGCTACCTGAGGATCTTGGCCAATTAGAATGTTTAGAGAATCTAAGCCTAAAGGGTTGTAAGTTTTTACAAGATATCCCAAGCATCATACGTAAGATGAAAGGTCTAAAAAATCTTAATCTTTGTAATTGTATTCAAGTTAAGACATTGCCTGAGGAACTTGGGGATCGACAATGTTTAGAACAGTTAGATATAGAAGGTACATGCATAAGACGTCTTCCACAGAGCATGTTTTTGTTGAAAGGTCTGATTATTTATGGGTTGAGAGGGGTACTTCAGTCAAGTGGTTTTACCTCTGAGATTCAAACCTCGGAATACGGTATGTTTTGCTATGTAAAGGTGTGAACAATTCACAAAGAACTATTTATATAGAACAAGTAGTTTTTTCATTTTCTCTTGATCATCTAACTTGGGTTTGAATTTTTAAATTTATATGACAGTAGTTAATTTTCTGCCAGTTTTTATTAATTATATTAGAAGAAAATAAAAGTACTGTAAATAGAATTGATAGAGAAAATTGTAATAGAGTAGAATGGAATGAATGAAGATGAATGAAATGATCTGATGTATTGATAGTGGATGACATGTATAAACAGGGTAGATTTTCCAAAGTAGAAAGTTGTAATAAGAATAATGAAAGTAGGATGCTATAATAAACAATTCTATGAAAGTACCTTGCTATTTCTTGCACTTATAAAAAAAAATTTAATTTAAGCATCTGGTATAGTAGTCTTATGTATAAGCGTAAGGATCGGGACTGGGACAAAAAAACCTACCAAAAACGTGGGGGGTAGCCCTAAAAAGTTTGTCCATTCATGTCCTGTGTAACATAACATTCTAATGATCAAAGTTTATTGTATTCAATAAGAACCAAACAAACATCCTTCCCCAACATTATAAAGTATACAAGTATATTAACAGGGTATATATTAACTTTGTATTTAAAATGAACCACAGTATTCATGGGCTAAGTGAAATAAATAGCAATGTACTTTCATAAACAGATCAATGGAATTACATTGTTATTTCTTGGATTTAACCGAAATTTGTGCATTATAACATTGTACTTACATTTCTTTTTATAACAACATTGTACTTTCATTTTTTTTTCATGTTAAGGCATTGATTGTACATCAAAAAGTTATACCCAAATGTAGTATTGTTTATTCTACTTTTTTTTTCTTATTATAACAATGAACCACATCACCAAACGTGCCAACAGACCACCTCAAGGTTCACCTTGGAAATTGGCCATCACTTCTCAATCACGCTCAAGACTTCTGTAGTTTAAGTTTAAATGAAGTCATATGGTTAATCATTCTCTTCTTAAACCCTTCTGAGATGTATAAGTAAAGAAGCCCAAGAACATAGTTTACTACTTAGCGAAATCCCTCTTGGTATCATAGTGTAAACTGTAAAGGCCTTCTATTGGTAGTAAATCTGTTATAAATATGCCCTTGGAAATTAATTTAACACATTTCGAAAATAGTGTTAGTTTGACATTTTTTAGCCATAATACGTCCTTGATTTTTAATTTAGGAGATTTTTAGTTATTTATTACATTGAACTAATGACAAATATAAATCTAATCAAGTAAGGACAATCTGAGAATAATATAAAAATTATTTGATATTACATATTTTGGATTTGACATTATGGTTTGTTTAGGAAAATTCATGTATATATTAAGCGAAATATGATGTTGGTTATTCTCCAAACGATCAACTAGGAATTGCAAAAATATTTGTTTATCGTTAAAAGCTTACAAAATTTACTAAGTAATTTTTATATTTGTGCAAGTCCCTCCAAACTTTATGCAAACCTTGAACTTGATAAATGATTGGGATTACTAGGGGTGTTCGTTTGGATGGATCGATATGATCCGATCCAATCAAGTGAATCCAAATTGATTTTGGTTTTCAAAACATGGATCCAAATAGTCCAAACAAAATTCAAATCCGATCCGATCCGATCTAATTATAATTCGGTTGGATCGGTTTTTATAATTCGGTTTTTTAAAAACCGAAACATTTTAAAACGACATATAATTATAATATTACCCAACTTTACACAAGAAGCAAAAACAAATTATTTAGTTGTGATTTGAAATTTATAAACAACTAATACGAAGATATATTATAATTAAATATTTTATAGATAGAAAACTTTTGAGAGAAAATGCATATTAATGTTTTTTTATCGGGTGAAATGTTTTGAACCTATTTGAAAAAATAAATTACAAAATTAATAAATAACTATAGATATATATTATAAATAGATAAATAATAAATGTTTATTCGGTTTTTTTGGACTATTCGGTTCTTATTTTATAAACCCAAACCAATCCGAAATCCAAAATAATAATTCGGTTTTGTTGAAAACCAATCCAAAAATCCGAATATCCGAACCAAATAGTCAAATCTAAATTGTCTAATTGGATAATTCGGTTTTATCCGAATAATGAACAGTCCTAGAGATTACCTTTACTTACCCCCTTAGTGCTATGTTTACCCCTTTTTATTTTCAATTTACACCCTTTTAATTTTTTACATATTTACTTTTTTGTTTAAAGCTTTTAACCATCTTTTTTATATAAATCTAGTTTTGAACATTTTTTTAATACATCATTTGAACTGTAAAATTTTGCCACCAATTCAACTAGACTGATGGTTTTTCTGGTTCGTACCGGAGATTTTATTGGTATCATACTTACCATCCCGCTCACATCCAAGTATAAGTTTAGACATGTAACCATTTTTTGATTTGGATCTTTTAATAGGAATGAAAAACCCATGAGAACGTGAAAAATTATGCACCCATTCCTTCAATTCTATCTGAAACTCAGACGACCTAAAAAATATTTTTGATAATAATCATTTTTGTCAACTCGAAATAATACAAACGTAAAGCATAAAAATTATCATTTACCTTATCCATGTGTGTGATACCCACCATCTTTGATTATTCATTATTTATAATGAAAGTGAATGAAAATTTAGAAGTTATGAATGAGAATTTATAAAAAGTATTCTTTGAATTATTAAGATTTCATGTATTATTCGACAAATTATTAAGATTTGATATATTATTATATAAATTAGAAAGAGTTGATGTATTATTCTCTAAATTATTAAGAGTTGATGTGTTACTCTCTGAATTATTAAGAGTTGATATATTATTGTCTGTACAAAAATATTATAAAAGTGTATAAATTTAAACAAATCTATAAAATTTGTAATATTTAGAATTTTTCCTTAGAAAGAATATGTTCTAAACATTGGATTTCATTCTTAGCATAATCGCCACCTTTGGTTAGGCTACCTTGTTGGGTTTTATTCAAAAACAGGTTTCTAAAAACACTAGAAATGACAAAGGGAAGCTTTATAATGTTAAATAAAATTAAAACCATTTTAACCAACCAATGATCTTTTTGCAAACATGGAAAGATTAAAACAGCCATAGGAAAAAACAGTTACAACTTTTGAAGACTTTGATTCCTCATGGGATGTTGGAAGTGATGGGGATTATAGGTCACAATTCAACTGTACATGCCGAATTTCACTTAACTCTTAAGGGTACATGCAACCTAATGGATCTATGTCTTTTTCACATCTAATAACAACATACTTATGAAACCAAAACTATAATCCTATAAAATCAAATTCATGAATAGAATTACATACATTTGCTTGATTCGAAACAAGCTAATCAACCCTTGTAGTCTCCTTGAAAAACTAACTCCAAAAGTATGCGAGCCTATAATCCGTCACACCTAAAACACAAGAAACCCTATGATTGAAGGAGAGAAAGGAGAAAGGTAGAATTTTCTTAATTGTCCTTTTTTAAATAGGTTAGCCCGAAATACAAGGGTTTGATCCATTTATATAGCTGCTTGATAATCCCAAAAATCCTAGATTTGAACATAAAACAATATTATTTCAAATCAGTAATTATCTAGTTTCCTTTTATAAGTTGGAGGCTTCCATAAGCTCTATTAGGAGCCTCTAAAACAGTCCACACACAGGACGATTCTAGATCCTCTCTTTTGTTCAACTATTGATGTGACATCCCCAAATTTTACGGTCTGAAAAAGTTATTTTTATTTATGCTTATTTGAAAACATAGTATTTATTGAGTTGCAGAAGTTGTCCCATAAAAATATTTCTAAAGAAATGTTTTATTAATAAAATATTGGGATGTCATAACTGATACAAAACATAAGCATAAACTTTATAGACGTCACAGTGATTATACTAATGGCCTTAGCCTCCTTGAATCTCTCAGTATAATGTACATTCAAACCATTACCTATGATAAAAAGAAACTGAGTGGGTCTGGTTAGGGAACCTGGTGAACACATAGGGTTCTCAACCCACAATAATATAGTCGTATATTTTATTTACACAGTTATCCCAATTACCCATTCTCGTTGTCCTTACTCCCTGATCCTAAGGTAATGATCTTGTTGGACATATCCTAAAGGATCTCTATGAGTAGATAATATTACTATGAGGGTTTTGTAGCAATATCTATCGATAAGGCAACCCTGAGGGGGATAGAGTACCCGAATGAACATCTTTTCTTTTCCTTGAAAAGTATGATCATTAACACCCAAAACTGGTGTTCCACCGAATTACCTAGAATAGTCAGTGGTTGTCATCTATACTCTATTAGATGACTGGTCCCAGTATTACAATGTGTAACCTCTCACCATTTTTTTATTTTCCTAAAAATCCTTTACTACCCAATACAAATATGATAAAATAATATAAATAAGTAAAATCATATATAGCACAAATATCAAATACACAAATAACAAGCACATATAGCATTTAATAGATAATTTATATCTATGTGTAAGTTGAAAGTAACTATGCACTCACCTGACAAAATGTCTAGCGATTGGTGAATCGGGCAGAGCTTCGCCTTAAACATGTTTCAAAAGACCTAGATGTATATAATGCTAAGTCTTAGTCTAATTTCATATTTCATGGAACTTATTATCCTAAAGACTTAGATTCCTCAACAATCCTAAAGTCTGCATCAAGATCTATCAAGTAAGGATCAACCAAGTAGGAAAATCGGGAGGCAAGATCATTTCGACGTATAACCTTTCTGAAATCCAACAACTAAGCCGACATGACCATTCTAGTCACATCTCCCATAAAAATATCAATAAATATAATGACTTGGAACCGTTGATAAATCTTAATTATAAGTTCCTAGTAACGACTTATAACTATAATCATAAATTATACGGAAGAAGAGTAAGTATAGCTCACTTACAGAGTACTCTTGACGAAAACTGGGATCTAAATGGGCAGAACACTAGATCGGGATCTCCT